ATTTGTGGCAAAAAGTCCTTGAAAGCCACTTCACTAGAATCAGTTTTCAACGAGGAATTCGAAAAATTTAATTGTAAGAAGTAAAAACATAAGGGGAAAAAATTGTACGTCTTTTTTTGAAAAAGAAGGATTTGGGGCTTTTTCGACCTATTCTCAATACTTCGCATTTTTCTCCATCAAAATTAAAGCACAAAAAACAATTTCACTCGAAGTTTGCTTTACGTGCATCTTACGTGCAATTTTTACGGATAAAAGGTCATTGATATCAAAAATATCTAAAGACGTGTTACTAAAAATGAAACAAATATGTATAACTATATTTAAAGTAAATAAAATTACAGAACGATCAAGAATGGCTGGAAGCGCACAACAAGCAACACATCTATGGTGGCATGTACTGATTAAAACATTAGTAAGTATGCCATTGAAAACGGCTGATGACGCAAAAGCTCAATTGGTTGATGAATGTAAATTATATTATAAAAATAATGAAGATAAACAAAAGAAAATTAAAGAATTTTAAGAAACCTATTGTTCTACTGATGCCACTAAATGGTATACATATGATTCATTTTTATATCGTTTAATCAATAAAGCTCTACATACACAGGACATTGATATTATTTTAAATTTAGATTCTTTTTCAACGATTTACATCGTCAATTAGTTAAAACACATTCAGAATTCAAAGATTATCTTTCTGAAATATTTCAGGTCTATTGTGGACAAAGTATGGATTTAAGTGAAGTAGACACATTGAAAAACAATATCGGACAACTTATATATATGAATACATTTCTATCGGCTACAATGAATAAAAATGATAACAATAGGATTTACTGGTCCAGAAGATACATTAATTAAGTCTGTTTCATTTGAGATAAATATTGATAAATCATTTGTGAAATATTCATATGCTAATGTAGCAGGTAGTGCGGAAGATAAAATTTTATTTTCAATTGATACTGTATTTCAGATTAAATCAGTACAGTACGATTCTGTTAATGGTCACTGGCAAGTAAAATTTGAACTTACAGAAATGATGGATAAAAAAATAGTCGGTTTAATTAAATATTTTCTTCCTGATCCTCATTCTAATCTCAATGAACATATGCATATTGTTTATCTTGGCTTTTATCTTTGGAGAATGGGCCATGAAAATAAAGCAGAACGTTATTATAAACTTGTTCTAAGTTCATTACACTTTAATTCTTTTAACTGGGTGTTGAAATTTAACTGTTATACATATCTTGGTATGTTATATTGCAGTAAGGACCATGTTAAAGCATTAAAACATTATGAAATGGCAGCTAAAATTGCGTTCGAATTGCCTAGAAAATGTAATTGAGGTATAATTGGTTATGCATTACGAAACAGACGTCATGGAAAATTTCCCTTTCCGAAAAAAAAATGCGACTTTTTCCTCACACCAGAACTCAAGGTCAATTATCGAAACATTTTCCAATGGGAAAATGGAAGAAAATCCTTTTTCCGGGAAAAGGAAATTCTTCATCCTATGACGAAACATTGGTGATGCTTACGTTAGCATAAATGATTTAGACACAGCATTAAAAAAATATGAATTAGCACGACGTTTTATTCGAAGCGCTCCTTTTGCACTTCGAGATATGGTAGAATATTCTATAATCGATGTTCAGATAGGCCGTACATATATGCGTAGAAATAAAAATGATATGGCATTAGAAATATTGGATAAAACATATAAATATCAATTAAAAAATTTACCAGATTATCATGCAGAAACTGCAGGTACAGTGTATACTATTGATAAAGTTTATTTAAAATTAAAAAACTCTTCAGCTGCAATTGACGCCTTTGAAAAGGCGCTTGATATCAGACGTATTTGTTATCCGAAACGAGATAATTCATGAAACGCGTCTAGGTTAAATATGTGTCTGAATTCACTCTCGCACTATTTATTTCTTGTCTACGAAGAATGCGGTGATTATTCAGCAGCAATGGAACATTTCAAAGTATCATTGTACATCGCGATCAATCAATTTCTTCATTTAATGACAAAGAATTAATACAACACTATGTTTAATCTATATTGCATTTGCCACCGCTCATTTTTCTCATCCATGAATGAAAGACATGATTATGAAATAGCAACATCATAAATTAGTGAACTAGTTGAAAAATGTCCAGCTGTAAATAAATGACCAGTTAGTTGAAGCAAAAATCGATCTCGATCAAACTGGAATTAATATAGCCCCAGAACTATCGTTACCCAAATCAGAATTACAGTTGAAATCAAAAAAGGATCGTATTGTAGATGATGAAGATACGATTAATTATTGCACAAAGACAACAGAAAACAAAGTTGCTTTATATCGTAAATTAAAAAAGCCAAGAAAATGCTGTTAAAACAGTGGCTGTAAATGAAAAATCTTTGATCTTAGCTATAGAATTTTATTGTGGCTGTAAAAATGATATGTACGAACAAATTGAAAAATGGCTGATGCAACTGCGTGTCAGTGATATCAATCGTCTGGGATCGACGACAAGCATACCGTTACATGCAGCAAGTTATTATGTTCATGAAAAAATTATTAAAATGGTGTCAGCACATAGTGCATCAAGATCTATTTTAAATAAATATAAACAGACACCGTGTCAAGAAGCTAAGACATTTCAAATTCAGCAATTATTTTATCGTCTATTTCTAACTGATCGTTTTTTAAGTTCGGTGGATGAATGGACTGATCCAGTGTATGACATGGTAACAACTTGTTTAAGCACGATGCGACGTGGAGAGTACTGATTTTTTTTGAATTTTAAAGATGATAAATTCATTACAAAAGTAAAGGAACTAAACGAAACATTTTTTTCAAATATAAATTGTATCGATCAAATTCGATGGTTTTTCAACAAATCAATAGAATCCATAGTGTATTATTAAAGCATATACAACTGAAACTGAATTTTATCAGATTATTAATCATCAATCAAACAGTTGTCATCCGTGCCTTGCTGAAAAGTCCCTTTGTAAAAATATGGCGGGTTTATTAAATACGCATGAAATATTCAACTCCAACTCGGGAGTTGAGGATTTTTTTGGTGGAGTTCGAGTTGAGATTTGGGTTTTTGAATTTTTATTCTCAACTCCGTTTTGCATTTTTGAAAATATTCAATGGTTGTAAAACTGATCTCCTAAACGATTGAGTGGCTGTATTCACGAATGAATTCGGAAGTTCTTTGCGCTTTCCGACCGAAAAAAGCTCAAAAACGTCCAAAATCCTGCTAAAAACCGAAAAATCTTCCTTACAAAAGTGAAGCAACTGGAGTTGAGATTTTTGTTGACGGAGTTGGAGTTATAGTTGAAAACTTTTGAGCGAAGTTGAAGCTGGAGTTGGAGTTGGAGTGCAGTTATAGTTGAAAGTCAGTGGAGTTGCCCAGCCCTGATGTACTAATCCAAATAAATCATTACTCATAGCTCCGGAGGGCTTATCCGAAAGTGAAACAACAGCGGTATTAGAAAGAGCTAAAGAAAAACAGTGCATAATCGATTCGTTAACAATTGAACAAGCTTTAAATTCGTGAAAGTGGTTGAGAAAGAAAATGACAACAAAAAAAGTTGAAGACGTTTTATGAAACTCTGTCCTGACTCATCTATTTCCAGATGCAGAGGATGAAACCATAAGCTAGGTTAAAGCTGATAGGAAATCTTAGAAACAAACCGATTTTAAATTTTTGAAGAAAATTCTTAAGATTAAGTTTTCGAGAAAGTAAAAGTGCTATGGTAAAGCATCTCAGATTTGGCTGATGTTTAGGCATGTTGTAAAGATACCTCGAAGGTCAATCCATATGGAACTTACTACAAGACACTAAAACACCGGCGCAAACGTTTGTACAGCTAGACTAACGGATGAATCCACTATTGAATTTCGCAGGTCTCCCTCTTTGTTAGGAAAAAATTATTCGCACTTTACTCATCAGGAAGACGAAGCAGGACTAACGCTTGTAAACTGAATCTGAATACGTTCACGAAATGTTTTTTGAACACGTAAGAAATCTGCCGTTTAATGACGGAATTTTGCCAACTGTATCTCATTTTTGACCCCATATCTTGGTCTCAAGTAAACCTCTTTGAGACTAGAAAATAGCTCGAGTCCATCTGTCTTTGTTGTCCAGATATGGCCAAATCATTGCCTGGATAAGGGAAATTAACGTCCGATCTTTCTAACCGATCTTTCTATTTGTCAGCTTTTGTGAAGAGTTGAGCAATGAAATCTTTTTCTCAAACAGACCCAGTTATCCGGTGCCTCTGCCAAAAGTTTTAGACTGGTAAAAAACGGTGGTACATTAGTTTCGCTTATCTAGATAATGATTTGGCCATATAGAGACGTAGTTACTGGGGAGGAGGGGGAGTCACCACGTCCCTGGTTTTAGAAAAGTTTAAGGCTTTGCGCTTGAAAACAAACTTGTTTTGGGAAGAATAAAAACTTTTTTGGGTGAACCGTTATATTTTTTATTGCCGTGAAATAAAAACATTTATAACTTATTTTTTATATCTAAAATATATTTTGCTTCAAGTCTTCTGATCGATTCTTCGTGAAGGAACCTTGCCGCATAGCCCCAATTGATATTTATCAAATGGTGTTTGATAAACCAGTTAAACGTTTACTCAATTCCCAAAGTCTTTCTCGCGCACTTTTATCTAAAACAACCGGATTTGGATTGGCTTCAACGGGTCTAATGTAAGGAGGTGGAATATGTTTACTTGGAACGAAATAAGCACCATGAATATTCTTAATTTCAATGTCAGGATGTGTGGCAACGTAGAGCGTCGTCATTGCTCCATTTTCAACTGTGCGCATGAAAGGACTTAGTACAAACTTAATCCAATTGATGTGCTGAAAGACATTCGTTTTCACCACTCCAGGATGTACTCCATTACAATAGATTCTTGAGTCAGGTCCGAGACGTTCAGCTAATTCCTTACAAAACATCATATTGGCTAGTTTTGACTGACTATAGGCCGCAGCACGTGCTCGATAAGTGGCGATACCGTTATCTGGATACGGTTGGTTTCTTCGTTCATCGTCAAACTCAATACCAGGATGCCGCAGATGAGCTCTACTGGCTAACATAACAATGCGCGATGGAACATTCTGTTTAAGATCATCTAACAATAAGTTTGTGAGTAAGAAATGTCCTAGATGATTGACTCCAAAATGTGATTCTTGACCGTTGTTTGTCAATGCAAAAGGCGACATGTAGATTCCACCGTTATTGATTAATAAATGTAAGGGTAAGTGTCGCTGATGAAATTGATCAACAAACTTTCTCACAGATTCGTACGATGCCAAATCAAGTTGTATAAAATCTAGCTTCAAATTATCACTGTCTTTAGTGTCGACTTGTGTTCGAATGTCTTGTATAGCTGCTTGTGCTTTCTCTTCGTTTCGACAGGCCATAATCACGTG